AAAAAAAAAGTTCCCAACGTGAACTATGGGGGAACTGGGTAATAAGGGAATCACTGCTTATGCTGGGGGACGAGCTGGTCGTGGCGGACGCGATGACGGACTAGTCGCTGTCGGCCTTGTCAAAGCTGCCTTCAGAAACAGGACTGCACTTAGTACCTCTGGCTCCATACATGACGGGCTAACATCCTCATTGACAAACTTTGATCGGGCGACTATTTCTGGGTTTACTGATGCCCAATGGGAGTCTATTGTACACCTCATCACTTTTTCCCGCAACGATGCTCCTTTGTCCGGTAAGCGTAGTCCTTATGAGTGGATATATGATAGCGGTGCTTCACATCATATGACGGGGTACTTGGAATTTTTTTTCTGATATTCGGGATATTCCGTCCCGGTCTGTGCAGTTACCTAATGGCACGCTCACCACTGCGTGTAAAGCTGGAACTGTTCATCTCGGTTCTCGTATTATCTTATATGATGTTTTGTTCATTGACAGTCTTCAGTGCAGCTTGATATCTGCATCTCGGTTGTTGGAACAATCTGGTATTGTTGCTACCTTCACTAGTAAATATTGTGCTATTCAGGATCTCACTTCGAGGACGGTGATTGGAGCGGGTGAGCAGTTGGGGGACTCTATTTTTTCTGAGGGGCGATCACTGCCAATGCTTCTCGGGTGTCTTCGGTTATGGAGTACTCACTTGTGGAACTAGCGGATGGGTCATCCATCTTCTACTGTTCTTGGTCAATTTCCTTTTTTCGAGTCTTCCTCATTGGTCTTGAATAAAGCTTGTGATGTTTGTTGTCTGGCGAAGCAAACTCGTGCTAGCTTTCCTCTTAGCAGTATTAGCAGTTCCATTTTCAGTCTGATTCATTGTGATGTGTGGGGACCTTATAGAGTTCCTGCCTTTAGTGGTGCTCGATATTTTTTTACTATTGTTGACGACTATTCTCGAGGTACTTGAAATTTCTTATTGGATGACAAATCTTCGGTGTCTTCTACTCGACTGCAATTCTTTGCTTTTGTAAAAAGGCAATTTGGTGTATTGGTTAAAACTCTTCGCAGTGACAATGGGACTGAATTAACTCGTATGCGCGATTATTTCTGTCAACAGGGGATTGTTCATGAAACTTCTTGGTCAGAACTCCTCAACAAAATGGACGTGCTGAGCGCAAACATCAACACATTCTTAATGATGCTTGAGCATTACGCTTTCAGACCCATTTACCGATTGAGTTCTGGGGACATTGTGTACTTGCTGTTGGCTATTTAATTAATCGAACGCCTAGTCCCCTTTTATTCGGCAAGACTCCCTATGAACTTTTGTATGGCGATCCTTCCAACTATGCGCATTTACGTGTTTTTGGTTGTCTGTGTTTCGTGCACAATCAGAACAGGGATGGTGACAAGTTTGCAAGTCGGAGTCGTCGATGTGTCTTTGTGGGCTATCCATCTGGTCAAAAGGAGTGGTGTGTTTATGATTTGGACAGCCGCATTTTTTTGACGTCTCCTGCTCTTGATACTGCCTCCGCACCCGTGGTTCCATGGCCTGTTGTTTCTGACGATGATGATGATGTGGTGGTTCCCACTACAATGCGTACCGCTGCCAATGGGGGTTCTGAGGTCACTGTCGATAGGGGGAAGGGGGTATGTTGGGATCTGTGAGGATCTCGTTGTGTACAAGTCACGAATTCAATAGCAAACGTAAACCTATACGCACCAGATCTAAAGGTTTGACGTAGAGAACCTATAGCTTAAAATTCATGTAGATCTGGTTGACCACGAACGGTTGATCGAAAATGATTGACCGCAAATCACGTCTTGGGTTCCACGAACAAGATCAGATCAAAACCGGATCAAACGAGTGCAAACAAATGAAGACGAACTTTGCAGCCTGGGAGCTTCTGGCGGCGCGTGCGGCGTCGGACGGCGGTGATGGTAAGCTCTCGTCGAGACGGTCGTCTGGGTATGCTGTGCGTCTCAATCGGACCGCCGGTTAGTTCTGTAGGACAAAATATATTTCGTCTCGGTTTACCTACAGATCTTCTACTGTATTACTCAATACACCCTTCTTCAACTTGTACCAATGGAGCAACAAGAAGAAGATAAAGTTCGAATGAGATCTAGAGAGAGAGAGAGAGGCGTGTATCTCGTGTGAATGAGATTTCTGTTCTCTTCTCATGAGCTTAATGATGTATATATAGAGCTACAGTATTAGAAAAAAGGCTCCTTAATTAATTAGACTAACTGTGGGCCATGCTCACTCCTCTAATTAATTAAATAATATTAATAGGCCACCAACATTATATTATTGCACTCCCTTTTCTTAGCCCAAATTACATTGAGACTCTAATAATAATTACCCGATTTACCTCCCCACGTTTAAGATATAATGTCCATTAATTAATTTGATTACTGACAATCAAGAACTTATTTCACCGAAGCTAGCGCTCGTTCTTCACATTCGTATTATGCCGGAATTTAATCCACCTACAGGGTTTAGCATAACAATCCTTCATGAACTCACTCTGGGGACATCATCAAACTAACGCACATGGTGACCGTAAATATCCGAACAACACATCCTATATGTAATTATATTACCCAAAACAGTAGGAATATTAATTCAGCGAACTGAACCTCACCCATGTGAATCAAAGTAATATATATTATATATATATCTGCCTGTTTACTATCTTACGGGTTAAGAGAACCCAGTAATTAACCGAGACCTAGTTCATTTACGACAATCATTATAAAATGAACTTCTCCTCTCTAGGATCCTGTTCAATACATAAATGTACTAGTGCAACTAATCAGTCAAGACAAAC